GGAAGGTCTTGTCACAAGAAACACACATGTAAAATATGAACACCAAGCACAAACTTTTCAAAAGTTACGGCCAAGGTTAAAGATTTTTTCAAAAGTAGGTGAAACTCAATGTTCAAGGTCAAAATTGTTGGTACCCAAGGGAAAGTCTTGTCAAAAGGAAAACACCTGTGAATTATGAAAGCCATAGCTTCAATCATTCAAAACCCATGGCGAAGGTTAATTTTTTTCAAAAGTAGGACAAACTCCAAGGTCAAGGTCAAAACGTAAAAAAAAAATATTTTTACCCAAGGAAAGGTCTGGTTTCAAGAAATACACAATCTCTACCTTCAACTATTCAAAACCTATGGCCAAGCTTAAAGTTTTTGCGGACAAAGAGACTGAGAAAACGGACGGACAGACCAAAAACTATATGCTCCCGAATCTTCGATTACTGGAGCATAAAGATTTTATCCAATTACCTTATGTTTATCAATCTAAATATAAATAAAAAAAAATCTAAATGAAAAATCTATTTTTTTTAAATAAAAAAGTTTATTGTTATCATGGAATAGAAACTCAAACATTTCCTCCTTCAATAAATGTCACAACTCGTTAGCACAAATTAAAGAAATAATCGGTAACCTGGATTTGTGTCACGTATTCGTATGTTTTGATAGATTTCATTTCATAATTAATACATATTTATACATGTGTACATCCATTAACCTTCAAATCTTTTTTCCTAGATCGACTATAAGCAATAAATCAGTAAAAGGATAAGAATTTTGTGAATGCTGAGTTTTTTTTCCTTTGAATTTTATTAATTCTTAACATTTTTTTTTTCTTCGGAAGAATTTGATCTACAAGGATGTTTCATCAGACAACTCAGGTAATTATCTTTATAACATCTTCGATTTGCCCAATAGGGGGTGGGGTATTTATTTATGCAATTTTTTCTGCCCATAAATCTGTCTTACTGTATGTGTCTTTATTCTTGCGAGTATATATGCTAAAAAAATTAACGTATTTTTTTTCTAAAAATTGTTCGAGTTATATCGAATTGTGGCTTTTTTTAACCTCGGATTTGTCAGGGAGGGGTTAAAAAGGACTAAAAATACTTAATCTAAGATAACTTTTAAACATGAAATGGACTTAAGAAATTTGCTTTCGATGACCTCAAATATGCATGCTTTAAATCTAACAAATTATAAGCTTAAATATATAAAGAACAAAATTAGGTCCTTCCAAGCCTACATGTTTTAATGTACAAATAAATGTGCGTAAAAAAAGCTCTCCTTGTTGCATCAGTAGAAAAAGACGTTAATGGTAATCTAACAACAAAGATTTATGATTAACATGATGATTTTAACTTTTCAATCGTCAACTTCCCTGCAGCAATATACCCTTATCACCTGCATATGGGGTGTATATCTCTCAATTGATTTGATACGCAAGAGTATGCTCTACGTATGAAAAAATTCTAAACGAGGTAAGTTATTGACAAACAAGTTGATGAAACAATATCAACAGCCATCATTTCGTAAGTTCTATGTTCGATACAATGACCTTGTTAGAAAATACAATCTATCATTAAGTCAAATACTGACTGACGTTTTTCATACTAATTGTTAGGCCATTATTTACACTGAATTGTCGACGGACTTTTCTGTTATTTACCAATCATGACAAGGAGCACACGGCGGGTGTGACCGGTGTCGCATAATATTTGGTCCGCCTCGTTTAAAGGTCCGGGGGGACCTAATACGATAACATATAAGGTCCGGCCTGCCTCTATAATAAAAGGTCCGCCTTCGGTTTAATATGCAGATTTTTCTCCTTTATTGATTCGAAATTAATTTGCTTTATTAATCTTTTTAAATTATTTAAGGTATAGTTGTTATAAAAGTGTCCCTCCCAGCAAAATGGAGTTCCAGGGACGTACATGTATGTACATTGTATATATACTAAAAGGATCAAGTCTTGCGATATCTCGCTAGTTGCTGGATTTCGTTAGCCAATTTTAATTAATTATATTTCTAATACTATGACATATTTCAGTACAAAACCTCAAATTATCTATCAAAAAATTATTCAAAATTTGATGTTAGCACTGATTAACTGTTAGCTCCTTATCGCAGTACATACCTCCCAGGTAGTGCACAAAACAAAAAATATAAAGATGCAAAGATCTGTTGATCGAGTTACCTTATGGGAAAATCATGTACGACATGTGTCTTTTATAGTTTAAGTGATATCAATATTAACATTGCAAAATAAAAAAAAAATATATATATATATATATAATACGCATACCTTCACTGGAACATTGTTCAGTATATGGTGTTCGTAAGTCCAACAATGATCATTTTATTACAGTCTCTTTCCTAACAACGTTCGACTTCCACTTCCCAAAAAGAATTTTCATATCTTTTGAAAGATATTTCATTATATCATTAATAATAATGATGCATAATTCTTACGATTCATATTGTACCTAACTATAAAATAATTGGAGGGTCACTTTGACAGGGACTTGTGTTACGGTGTACTAGCCTATCCCGTTGATGTTAAAACAACATGTCTGTGCTTTGGGGGGTAGTCCTATTGTCTCACCTGACGAAACTTGAAGTCGCATATCCCCCGTGTTTTTATAACCATCGTTTCTTATCCAGTTAAAGACTAACGATTATTTCATTCTACTTGATATTACCCCGGGGTTAACACTAGTTAAGGAAGATGTGCATTAATTGGCAAAATCAAACCAAAGTCAATCGAGTTGAACATTTTAAGTAATAAAACACCCCCCTCCCCCAAAAAAGGAAAAGATTATAAATGGTGTTGTTGTATTTTTGGTGGGTGGGGTATAGCAAAATTATGCTGATACATGTCAAATAGTTTAAAAAGTACTGATGTTGTAGACTTTCCTCCCACATTAATATTTTTTCCCGGAAAAACGAGCTTGGGTTTAAAGACCCCTCCCCTTTTGGAAAATGAGCCTAGCATAGGATTTTATTTCCGGAATTTTTTAAAAAAATATTGTTTATTTCATTCCCTACATTTTGTAGTTTTCATTTCTGACGTTTTAAAATTTTCATCTCTGACATTTATCATCATAAAGTACTTTTCCGGCAATGAAAACAAAATTGAAATTTCCCTTATAAAAAAAAATTAAAGAATAAATCAAGAATAATTCATTGATTTCCAAATAATAAGTTCTGCTTATATTTAAAAGAATCTTATGACGATTTTATCCTCGGACACATGTAAGTGTAAGTTGTGAATTTTTGTTCATCTTTTCAAATCAAGATAATCAGACTGAATTTGAGATCAGAAAGGTTTAGATAGAATTTATGACATACAGAAACTATATTTAACGGAATAAACTAATCAAAAGCTGAGGGGATTCTGTTTTTCGGTGCTTTCAAACACATATAATTCAGTGGGCATTAAAATTTGGTGATCAAAAATTGCATGTTTTATTATTGAAATTATTGCATTTTATTACAGGGGATGCTCACTCTTCCATGGCACCTGATTTCACCTCTGATGGTTTTTGGAGGTCCGTGTTTGCTCTGCTTTCGATTTGTATTGTTTTAAGTAACCTTGAGCTTGAATACTGTTCGTTATCTCCATATTTCATTCAACACGTTTTGAGTGAATCCTCAATGGGACAATATTGCAGTTAACATCTTTACCTTATACAGAAATGATGTAAGAAAAATAGAGGAATACAAAAGATGAAGACAAAGAGATTAATGAGGCAAGAAAATCAAATCATTAAAGTCGAAAGAAAGAATAGGAGTTTTTTCTTACTTTTTTGCCTTTATTCAAACAGAAAATATTTATTCAAATGTTGTGAAAATCTTCACGAAGTTGTCATTCTATTTCAGGCGCTGTATATCTTTAAAAAAAATTGAAGGATACAATTTCAGATACTATTGCACTAGGTTTTAAGAAAAAAAAACTTTGACAAAATGGAGGGAAAAAAATCGGTATATAAAATTCGGAACAGCCAAAATTATACTTGATTCTTAATTGCCCCAAAGCACATCCCCTAATATGTTATTAAAACTTTTTACACGTATTTCTTTTTTCTTGCCCACAATTGGCGGATGACAAAAAGGAAGAAAAGGGATATCCTGCACGAGCAACTTTACAAGAGTCCTGATTTGCTTTCAAATTTTATCAATCCCCATTGTTTCATGCCGCACGTCTCTTCAATTTCATTACAATCTTTCCAATTATGTCCAAGCAGTCAGATTACAAGGCTAAAACTTCTTTTCTCTTTTTCACTCTTACATACACTTTCAATCATCAATTTTTATAATGTATTTTAGATGCATATTGTAATTCCTGAATTTCTTATACTATAATCAATAAACTCAAAACACAATTTGAGCATATTCCTTTTTGGGCGACCCCCCCGCCCTCCACACACACACACATTCGCCACGCAGTGACTGTACTTGTACATGTAACTGTATATGTATGAATTTCCCTAGCATTTAGGTTTAAATTGCTTTACAAGTTTGAGATTCTGCCAAAATATCAAAATATCAAAATTTTCTGCCTAAAGGTAAAATGATACATGTAGATTATGAAAAAAAATTGTAAATTAATTTAATACTTTGATTGAAAGAAAATATAAAGAACTTGACAATACTGAAATCGAAGCTATTTTAGGAAACTGTAATGCAATATTTTCGAAGAAATTTTAAACAGTTTCTTTGAACAAATGTTCGAAGAATTACTGAAACAAGCTTGATACATGTGTATATTTTCTTTTGTAATCAATTATTAAAAATATTGAATTGAAGCATAATAATAACTATAGGAAAATTAATTAATTAAGTGTCGGTAAATTTCGAACTTTAACCAATCAAAAAATAAACTACGTCATAGACTACCCTCATTACAACTTTGCAACCAAGAAATGTGTAAAATATTTGTTAAATTGAAATTAACAAAATTATTTTCAACATGATTGTTTTGTTTAACTATATAAACATTTTGTTTTGTAGAACACTTTATCCCCTTCTCCTTACGGGAACCAGATCCCAAACAACAATTCTTTAATGATATCAACATTTGATCATCAGCAAGAAAGACATTTTCTAAATCATCAGCAAGACATTGACGAGATGTTCCTAACAGCTTCCTATCAGCTGATTCCCAATTCCTTTCTACAGCAAAACCCGGAAATCACCGGACACACCTCAAGCATGCTATCTACAAAGTGGAAGAGTCCAATGTTAGAGAGATTGAGAGACTACAACACAGTCCATGCGATGCAACATCGACATATCGAAGACCGATCCCTATGCCAATCACAGAATTCTGGTTTTGGACATTCCGAAAACTATTTTTTCGGCACTGGAAATCGACACCCCATTTCATCATACCAAGTAAGGTACATATTTCCCACAAGACTGATCAATAACTATGATAATAATTTAAAACTTTTACAAAATGTTAGCTGTTTTCAAAAAGTCGTAACTACATGTATAACTATCTGAATACAGTGGGGCCTTTGTAATATGCCTGTCAATAATTCGGACAATTCACCATGCGGATGAAATGTCTCGGAGAAGAAAAACAATTTCTTTCAATTACTAAAGGTGCATCAAGTTATAAAGATACAATGTACTTCCTTAATCTGGACGATTTTCTCAATACCCGAGTATCTGAGTGAGGCTCGACTGTATATATAAACAAACAATATATTTTATATCTTTTAAGTAGCTTACCTCAAAGTTTTAGAGGTCCCCCTCATCAATGTTACCTATTACTTTATAATCAATACCTATTAGTCTAACTAAATAATCAATGTTTATTACCAATAACAATTATGTAGGCCTAAATTTCATTTCAAAAACAACTTTTTTTTTAATCAAAAGACATAATGTTTAATATCTAAACATACATGTTTATTTACACTCAGTGTAATTTTCTTTATGAAATCCATTAAAAATCTATAACGTTCAAATCTCTATAACATGCGCGAAACCTTGTCACCTCGCGGTAGAATACACAGTAGGAACAACTATATGCATTTTCAATATCTAGGAACACCAAAATATATTTTGTTCTGACTCAATTAAAAAAAACAAACCTGTTAAATTAACGTTAAATACAACTGTGCGTTTAAAATTGATTTGTAATTTTTTTTCTCGCAATGTTCATTTGCGTTATTTAACTTTCCAACGTCACAAACGGCTCTTACGTCTATTAAGCACACCAGTTCTGAAAGGCGCTAAATTCATAATAAAGATTAACGCGCAATTTCAATTTGTCGGCACGACCAGGTGTGTAATAGGACCGACGACATCCGAAAATAAGAATTCAATGCTTAAATGTTTCGTTTAAAAAAATAATTTTGAATTACCAATTAACCTATATATATATATATTTTTTTTAAAAAGTCAAATATACATTGAGTTCCATCAATATAAGCAAAATATTAACATTTTTAAAGAGTTCTCCAGTTGCAGACATTTAGATTTCAAAGCCGTTTCGGTTGTCACCATATTCTTTATAAACAAGGATATATTAACATGTTTTCCAGCAAAGAATTAACGACAAATGCACAATCTACAATACAGCCTCCAAATCACATTTTGTCCAAGAACAAGGGCAGAAGGGACGAAAGTGAAAGTATGTCATGCGCAGTGTGTGGAGACAAGGCCCGGTGTCAACACTATGGTGTTAGAACTTGTGAGGGCTGCAAGGGATTTTTCAAAGTATAAACTATATACTTATCAAGAAAATAATGGCTTTCCATTTTAGAAGTATTATATCAATAGAATCTCTTCGATGAACAATATAATTGTGCATTCAAATCGCTACAATGTTTTATTAAATATAAAAACAAAAACAGAACATTCTTTGACTAAAAGTTGAAAGACTGTACTTTGAAATTTTACCCCCCAAAAAATTTATTGTCCTGCTTAAAATAACAATTTCAAAGTTACAGACTTTCATCAAGCTTTTGATATATATTAAAGCTTCTAGAATATTTTTTTTAATAGGAATAGTTGTAAAATTGTCCAATTCCTTCGATTTAAATGCTATTGAATAAAAGTTTAATTATTTTATCTATTTAAATTTAGATAACTAAATTTGTTGGTAAATATACATTTCTTAAGTTCAACAAGAAAAAAACGATTATTAGCGAACACGCTTCTTACACTGAATTGGTTTTCATATTCCTTGTAGTTTAAAATGACTCATAAACATCAAATTCATTCCTGGCACTTTGAACTTTTATTTTACTTTCACCACAGAAACATATTTAATATCAGAAAGAAAGAAGCTCCATTTTTTGAATAGTATACATTTGTTAGGCGTGTACCACTGTTCGCTTTAATTTGTTTGCAGATAATACTTACTGTAATGAAATATATGGAGATAACGAACAGTATTCAAGCTCAAAAGTCCATTATACAATACAAAATAGGAGCAGAGCAAACACGGACCTCCAAACATCAGAGGTGGGATCAGGTGTCATGGAGGAGTGAGCATCCCCTGCAGACCGGTCACACCCGCCGTGTGCTCCTTGTCATGATCGGGAAATAACGGAGAAATCCGTCGACAATTCAGTGTAAATAATGGCCTAACAATTAGTATGAAAAACGTCAGTCAGCATTTGACTCAATGATAAATTGTATTTGCTGACAAGGTCATTGTATCGACCATAGTACTTATGAAATGATGACTTTAAACGAGACAGCTGATATTCTTGTTTCATCAACTTATTTGTCAATAATTTATCTCGTTTTAGAAATTGTACATACGTAGAGCATGCTCTTGCGTATCGAATCAACTGAGAGATATATACCCCGTATGCAGGTGATGAAGGTATATTGCTGCATAAGTAAGGGAAGTTGACGATTGAAAAGTTAAAGTCATCACGTTTATCATAAAGCTTGGTTGTTAGATTACCATTAACGTCTTTTTCTAGTAAAATATCCAAATATGAAACAGATGTGTCAGACTCTGTGGTATCTTTTATCTCAAGTTCACCAGGATATATCGTATCGACATAAGAATGAAAATAGCCATTGTTAAATGACAATACGTCGTCGATATATCTAAATGTCGAGTTGAAGGCCACTGCAAGTGTTTTCTTCTTTTCACGTACAAGATTTTGGACAAATTCTACTTCATATGAATACAAAAAAAGGTCTGCTAATAACGGGGCGCAATTGGTACCCATAGAAATTCCAATAGATTGTTGGAAGACCTGGTCTCCAAACACCACATAGATATTGTCAATCAGAAACTCAAGCATCTTTTTAATGTCAACTTCAGAGTACTTGTGTGTACAATCAGAATGTTTTTTAACAAAATAATTTTGCAAATGACCAATGACAAGGTAAGTATATTTACGAGTTCCATTTTTATTGAAAAAGCAGCTGTCAATGATATCATAAAGCCTGGACTTTAATTCATCGTGCGGAATAAAGTTGAAAAGTCGTAAGTTTTTAAGCTGTTGATTTTGGTAAAATCTTGTGATTTCAAATTTTCCAAAAGTTCCTTGGAATTTTTAAGTATCCACATCTGATTTACACCACTTCTCGAATATATTGTTGCACAGTACTCTTGAAGTTTCTCCTTCACCACTGTTAATATCTTAGTGAGGAGTAAAGATAGAGGCTTGGTTGAACATTTACTGGAACCCGCTATGTATCTTTGTTTGTAAGGATTTTTATGAAGTTTCGGAATCCAATATAAATATGGTAATTCGAATTCATTTTGGTTGTTTGGAATATTAAAAATATTCAAAACTGACATATGATTTTGAAGAATTTCTTCCCTAGAAAGGGAACTATGAGTATAAGTTGGATTACCACTTGTAGAATTTAATCCAAGTTCCTCTAAAATACATTTAATATAATGAACCTTACAAACAAAGACAATGTTGTTACCTGCTTTGTCAGCAGGGACCAGTACGTACTTACGTACTGATCATGTAATCTATCTAATTCTTTTTTCACTTCTGGATTATTGAATACAGAAGGATAGATGGTTTTCATATTGCCTCTTAATCTTTTAATGCGCGATTTTAAGGGAGTGAATTTGTGTGTGTAAGTGAATTTGTACTATTGTTACCCTTTGAATTTACAGAGGACTGTGCAGAAGAACCCTAATTATGTCTGTACAGGAAACAAAAAATGTAAGATCAATAAAGACCAGAGAAAGCGTTGCCAGAGCTGTCGATTCCAAAAATGTTTGTCAGTGGGAATGAACAAGGAAGGTACGTAAAACATTTCTTTAATCATTGGTAATCACACATTTATTATAAGGGTGTATATTTTGAATAACATTGAGAGGCTCCTGGGCCACAAATATCTTTTTTTTTTATCTGACGATGAATATTCTAAATACCAAAACAAAGTGGAAAGTTATGTTTATCCTTGTTCTTCAAAACGTCTATATATTCCTACTTAAAATTCTAAATCTTGCCTTGCTCTTTGAATATGAATATTTTTTCATATTGTTTGACGAAATAACTTGCTTCATGTATTATTTTGCATATTTCCTTAACATAAATCTTTTGAAGACTTTATTGAATTCTATCGTGGCCAAGGGTCTTGAGAGTTAAATACAAATACGGATGCTTTCATGCGTATATGAGTCTTTCATTTTGTTTAACTCATTTTTTTTTCTTGTTAGAGAGACTGGCCTTCATTTGAAGAAATTTGAATCCCATAAATTTAGAGTACTTTGTTCTAAATTTGGTTTAAATTGGCCCAGTTCACCTGGAGAAAATTTTTTTAAAATGTTAAAATTTTATTTACTGCATACTAAAAACTAACTGACGGGATCTGAACACTCCTAGACAACAGATGTACATATAACATTTGACTCAGATGAACTAGAAATCAGTTGAAAATTAACCGTGAAATATTATTTAGATATGAATGATATATGTGGTTTAAATGCATACTCAATACCTCAGAATTGATTCTGATGTGATTATTGAAAATGAAACCCAATAAGTAATCATTTAAGAAAAGTTAAGTCATATTCTGAGTTACTTACTGATTTATAATTAATGAGTTTTAAAATTAATCAAGTAGTTTAAGTTAAACAGAATTTTTATGAAATACATGTATGTCAGTCAGGAGGACTAATCTATCAATGTTTTAATACGTGTGATAAATAGAGAATAATACATGGAAAAATCTGTTTCACACCCCATATCAACCCGAGACTCCAATATCAGTCCGAGGGCCGAAGGCCAGAGGGGTGATATTGGTCGAGGGTTGATATTGGGTGTGATACAGATTTTGCCATTTATTGTTGTTTTAATTATACATTTGAAAATAGTGTCAAAAAATCATATATAAACTTTGAAAATTAATTACTGAATTTTTAATAATTGAATGTGCTCTGCTTTTGTTGAATTTCTGTTTCTCATTATTTTTTCCAAAGGCAATGCATTCAGCGATAAGAAATGAAGTAATTATAAATTAAACAAATAATTATTTTGAATAACATAAAATATCTGACGAAAATTACAATTTAAATTAACTTCATAAACAAAAGGAAAAGATTCAAGGTACTCCGAATGAAAAATTCAGAGTTGTTCCGGAAAGGTGTAATAAAGGGTGTGATAAAGGGTGAAATAAAGGGTGCTGATACAGGGTGTGTAATACAGGGCGCGTGCCTGTGTTCATATCAAGGATGCAAAAAATCCTGTTTTATATAACAAATATATAATAAATAGGTTTAATACATACATGTATTTAAATTTCAGTTGTGAGAAGCGGGTTTTTAAAGGGTCGCCGAGGGAGGCTGCCATATAGAAACATACCAAGTACAACTCCTCCTCCTTACCTAGGATCATTATTCCTCTAGATCAAAAACAGTAATGCAAAGTCCTAGTTACAATGGAGTGTGAAGCGTATTGCTTTTTTTAAATTGTAATCATAATCATTCTTGTATTTTGGGAGTCACTTCCGAGGAATCGATTGATTGTATTTTAACTGTTGGTACAATATTAAAAAAAATGTATGTCGGATATATTTATTTTTTCCAGAACTTTGTTTGTGTTAGCTTGAAAGCACAAAACTATTACTGTATTTACCCCCCCCCCCCCATTTTTACTTTGCCAAAAGAAATATAAATTTAATCTTTGAAAAAAAATAATCTGTTCATGTTGTCTATGTTGCTGAAATTAAGTTGTAATTTTTTTAAAAAAAAAAAATATCTTAGTAGTTGTCAGAAACTAGGTAATGTTTATCATCAGGGTGGGACCGTAGTCCGAAATATCTGACGTTTTCCTGGCCTTTTTACGATTTTGATATTTTACGTGCCAGCTGGAAAACGTCAGAACCGGCGCCATTACGAAAACTGGAAATTCGCCGCATCCAACTGGAGGCGGCATTCCCGGGTTGATTTTCCATTCTTGCGAACCGAATTAAATGCTGAATTCACAACTTATCAAAAGAGCAATGCCTTTAGTACTCATTTTTTATGGTTTGTTTATAAAATATAATGTCCGGTGAAAACATTTTATCAGACCCTTGAGTTTTGTTTTCAATTCGTGCATTTTAAAATCTTGCAAGGCCTGTATCGAAATGTTGAGTGATATTTTTTTTCATCGATATTGGTGAGAATTAGAAATATTGTGCTATTGATAAATTGTTAGTTTGGCATTTAATTCAGTTCGCAAGTATCGAAAATCAGCTCCGGTTGGAGACGGTGAAATTTCCAGTTTTCGTAATAGCGCCGGTTCTGACGTTTCCCTGGCACGTTAAATATCAAAATCGTGAAAAAAGCCTGGAAAACGTCAGATATTTCGGACTAGGTGGGACCGGTGCAAAGTATGATGGGACGGGTACTTTATACTTTATGCACCATTCATTAGGCTGGGGCAATCAATTTCCACAGCAGTAATGTGGATAAGACATTCTTAATTTTCCCCTATAAAACTGCGTGAAAAAAATCATTTAAAATAGAGTCAATGAAATCATACAATATGTATGCAAATTACAAAACTGTGTTGTGCCTCTTTTAATATTTTCGAATTGTCTGGAAATTAATATTTCATTTTAAATTGAGAAAATCATGCTATTTCATGAAAATCCAATGCAAGATTTGTAATATTTCACACGATTTTCTTTAAAGTTATGGTCAGTTAAGAGATTTTACTAAATAATTAATGATTTACTGACCTTAGCATGAGGAAAGATGCTTTCTATAACAATTCAAGTTTTAGTACAATATATCGTTTTAGATTAATATGTAGAATGTACATGCATTTACAAGAAAAAATCACCACATTTGCCATAAAATATTTAAATGAAACGTTAAAAAATTATAGTCATACATGTACATCTTTATTCTAATAGATTTTATATGACCAATTATTACTTACTTTTAATTAATTAATTTTTTTTATCGGTCCCACCCTGGTGATAGAAATTGCCTGGTCCCTTTTATCATTATCATTATAATGACTATCCTTTAATTTCATTTTATTTTTTAGCACTATTATTTTTAGCAAAATATATATTTGTGTATAAGATAATTTGTTTATTTTGGAAAAATACACGTCTTTGCAAAATATTTTATGTCATTTCATTTCATTTAGTAGATAATTGACTCCATATTTTAAGGAACGTGGGTGGTTAACAGATTATAAATTACCACATAAAATTGGACGTGGAGACCGGTCCTTCGGATGAAACCTTATAAACAATTAAGGTTTCTGTGTTCCATTGTGCTGACCCTCACTGCTCAAAGACCGTAAATGCCGAATACAGTTCTAAATTCTGTTGAGCCCTCATCATCTTTTTCTTTCAGTATTTAATGACTACTTACTATTCCAAGGATCCTTTACAGATTGTATTGCACTCAGGTGACCGTTTAGGCCCTTGAACCTCTGATTATTCATATAAGTATATTTGCACACTCTCTGTTTTCTCCCACTATGAACCTAGCTGCACTCACCGGTTGCGTTCATATCACTATGAATGCAACGTCTTCCACTAAAACTGCAGTTCATTTCTCACATTCACACAGAACAAGCTTCTCAACTTATATATAATTGCGTTCAGGATAAATATATGAAATTTTATGCAAAAGGAATAAATATTAGTGTTTAATAAAATCCTTTGGGAAAAAAAAAAGAAATTCAAAATGACTAAAATTGCTGATTGGGGTAAAACTTTTTAAAAATCAATCTGATTGATGTATTTTATTGTATAATAATTTTTTTTCCGAATAAAACAGAGCTCTGTTATAACTTTTATTTATCTGTACATTCTTACGCATATAGTTACAAAGAAAGATAACTCTTCACCTCAAGTGTTTTACGTTCAGTCGAAACGAAATTTCTATAGTGTATCTATTTCAAGAACAATTTCAGCTCTTAAAATGAATTTTAAGAACTTAAGAAACCTAAGAAAAACATTTTCAAGTAAAAACAATATAAAAGCATTCTCTTTTTTTCATAATAGTGTTATTAATAATTTTTCTCACAGACTTTTAATAATTTGAACGATGACGTCACAACTGCATCAAAACAAAAATTTACGAGAATTGAAAGACGGTTTGTGTCCAGATGGTGGATAAGAAGCAAATACTATGTATACATGTATATTATATGTGATTTATTGGAGAGAAGTGGATTAATCAGGTCTGCTGATCTTATTGCCACGTTTTCCCAATTAAGACAAAATATGATCTTTTCGATAATAAACTTTTAAAAACCAGAAAATAACATTACTTGTATTGTAATGGAAACTCAAAACAGCTTAATGAATGTCAAAACTGATTACCACATATGTAAGTATTAATATATAATCTAGAATTATGTCACGTCCTCGAATGTCATGAGAGTAATTTATCAATATTTATACATGTAATTCTATATATACATATGCATATAAATGTACCTTCGAATTCCAAGATCAGCTAAATGGCCATTACATTACATTAATCAGCAAAAGGATGAAAAAAATTTCGAGTGTTTATTTTTTTTTTAATTTTGTGCACCCTTAACATAACATTTTTTTCATCTGTCGGAAGAAATTCCTCTACAAGGATGTTTCATCAGACGATGCAGTTAATTCATATTATTATATCTTTCAAAAGGCGGATCCAGGGCCGGTGCGCCCCCGTCCCCCGTTTGAATTTTTTTGTATGTAGAATTTATATGTGCATTATCCTAAAATTAAGGAAAAAATCTCTTATTTGCCTCACTGGGGGCTTCAATGCAGCCCCCAGACCCCCTGCCTTCTACTGCGCCCCCGTTACGAAATTCCTGGATCCACCACTGCTTTCTAAGTCGTTTGAGACGTATTAGTTCGTGCATTATTGTCTATCTGTTAATCTTTGCTGTCTTTCTGTTCCTTTTAGTACACAGCGGAGTAAAATGTACTTATTTTCTAGGACTATGATGGTAATTTTGTATTGTCTCTGATTTACTTCATCGGATACGTCTGCGATGGATAAGAAAAACTGACAAGAAATATAACACAAAAATAATTTTCATACAAGAAATGTCTTGTCTTTCGAAACTCTTGCCTTAATGAAGGCGAACTGAAAAAAATTCCTCAAACCCTGCAGGATATATACTTAACTATAAAACTCTTCATTGAATTGGCGAAAATGCGAGGCTATGTTGTCATTGTAGTCTATAAATCTTGCCGAAAACCCTGTGTTCAATATCAAGTACTTTGCC